CTGGCGACAGCTGCCCCGCTGACAGCTGGATACGTAAGACGTGCAGGCTTTGCGAGGGGCTGAAAAACTGCCGCCTGCCTGGACCTGCTGCGTATTTGTCTATGGGTGGAGTATTTAAACTGTTAATCTGCGGCCAACTGTTCAGAGGGTAGTTGCAATGATCTTTACTCTTGCTAGGAGGACTTTTCTAACTTCAGTTGTTCTAACCGCCTGTAACAGCATAAACTGGCTCAATGAGGTAGTCAGTCTGGGGAGCTAAGCATACAACAGATACTCCAGAGAGGAAAAAACTGTAGTTGTCCTGAGTGTCTCTGCATGAAGTGTCGTGCTTCAGTTAAGTGTTTGTTCTAGGCACTGGTTGTGTCTCTCAAGGCTTACTTACTGAACATGAATCTATAGACCTGGCAAGAGAATGGTTTGTAAAACTTGGTATTCTGCATGTGTCCCTTGGGTCTGAGGATGTACCTGTTCTGTGATACCTCCTCTACTGCAAAATTAATGGTGACAGAGTGCCTTCCATGTTAGATCAGCTGCTGGTGGACCTAATAAGTGCATGTGAGAAGAGCTTGAATTTTGATGCTTGTAATTAACCACTTCTCTCATGATTTGTCAGCATTGTATTTCTGACTTGTTGTCCATGTCTTTATTGCACAGAGGTTGATTTTATTTACTTGTGGCCATTAATACATGGAGAACTGTAGCCAAAGATAACTTTTACACTTTGAGCTTGTTTATAGGCTGGATGGTGGGTTATAGTAAAAGGTTTAATAAATGCAGTTAGGTGGATTTTAGCTGCTCTGGTTTGGGTTCTGCACAGAACTGGCTGAGGAACACTTATTCTGTTCTGTTGAACCTGCTATTTTCTTGGATAGAGATTGGAATTGGTTAAAATAGATGAAAATATTAAATTGTAATGCATTACCTAATAAGCCTATTTTCAGCAACGTTCTTCTTTAAAGAAAAGTTTAAAAAGTTGGTAACAATTCATTTCCTCCGTGATGCTTGTAGAAATGTCATTTGTTTGTTTTTGAAGAACAGCTTAATGAAGATGGTTCCTTACGGTTTATTTTCTCAATCTCTTAAAGGTACATAAACCACTAACTCTGGAAAACAGTGTTTTCTATTTTTCTTTTTTTTTTTTTTTTTAACTGAAAAGTCACTATTTTTATGCTTGTACTACCTTAAGCTGCTTAATGGCATTCAAACACTAAATAATACTGAGCTCTCCTGGTCAGTCTTAACTGTGATTTTTTTAAAGTGCATTTTTTTTCAGTATTAATTAAACAAACTTATTCTAAAAGCATGCAAACAAATAGCCTTATAGTATAAGGGAAAACAGATTTATGAATGGAGGTGTGACAGTCACTGACTAACTTCAAGCTAAGTCTGTCCAAAAAAAAAAAACCTCTGTGTTTAAAAAAGGAGGAAAAAAAAAAGCTTTGAAATGCGAGCTCTCCTGGTAGAAATGACATTTTTTGTGGACTTACTGTGAGTCACATTGCCCTAATATTTATGTGGTGCTAGGTGAGTTGTGCTGCAGTACTGCTACACAAGCTGCCGACACTGTGTAACCCATCGTGTCTTGAAAGCGTTCGTAGAACAGACTTACCTCTCCTGGTGACAGAACTGATTTTAAACAGCCGAACTGTCTCAGGCTAAGCAGAGCCCTCACTAAGGTGGAGAAGTGTATTGTAGGCTTTCCCTTTCTAGGCAGTGCTCTAAGACTTGTGTACAGATTTTCATTAGGAATGTGATTTCATGCTGTACAAGGCTAATATCAACTATTACGTTTTGTTGTGCATAGTTTAGAGGATGATGGATAAGTGTGCTGTGTGTTAAAATGGTCTTGTAAAAGCTTAAAATTTCAGCTCAGTTCAGTAAGCTAACTACGAATTTTCCCCTTTACTTTCATTTTTGTTCTGTAATTCCCCTGTTCCTTTATCTCCAGTGTCCAAAGTAGAGGGTTGATGTCTTGTTGACTGACGCAGTTGTACAGCTGCTGTCTAACTTGGGAGTTTAATACGAAGGATTTTGCTGTTCTTTTTAAAACAGCTGTCTACAAATGACACCAAATTGTTTGTTTCTGTATACTCTGAAACAGCTTAACAGCAACATAATACTGCATTCTCATCAGTTAGTCTGACGTTAGTAAAGGTACATCTTGTCTGTGCTTATAAGCATGCTTACTTCAAAATCTATTTGATCAGAGAGGATAGTTGTTCCCTAGTTAGCATTACAAAAATGAAGTCTTGTTCTCTTGGTCTGGACGTGCTGTGTGTTGTCAACCAGCAGCCACTGTGCCTGTTCTCTGTGCTTAATAAAACCCCAAGCAAAATCCTGCGTTCATGAGCTTCCGGAAACAGGATGTCCCTCTCAAAACTGTCTCAGAAACAGAAGTTGCAAAACTTACTCTTCATTATTCATCTCTCTCAGACTTGGAGAAAGCAGCACACATCTCCATCAAGTAACTTTTATTTCTAGGGCTAGAACAACTTCCTCCCCTTGCTTGAGCAGTCTGTCCACATCTTTAAACTTTAACCGCCTGCACTGGGTACATAATGAACAGCCTTCTAAAGTGAAAGTAACTTATTCTAGAGTTGGGGGTTTTATTTTGAATGGGGAGGGGGATGGGAAGAGTATGTCTGCATCTTGGAAACTTCCTGTAAAACAAAAGAATTAAAATTGTTTTTACAGTGGACACCTCTGAGGTTTTTCCCTTTCTGTCCCAGATTAATTGTACTGTAGGGGTTAATAATGGGACTTCATAAAGAATTCGGGTACACGCAAATGAGGGATGTTAAGATAGCACGTGAAGGTGCAGAATGAATTGCTCAACTACATCTAGCATAGTGGAGAATTTTTGAAGCTTGGAAGATTTTCTTTAAAATATTTCTTTAAAATATTTGAGGTTTCTAGTTTAGTTTTCAAATTCCTGTCTATAAGTACCATAAATGAGTTCTACTGTTTTTAAGTGAAAAAGCTGGAATTCTTGCCTGATGACTCAAGGAATTAGACAAAGGGCAGCAGGTATAGAACACAGGAAAGGCTTGTCACAAGTTACTTTTCAGATTATAATGCTTACTCATTCTTTATTGGCAATGTGGCAATAAGGAACTGAATTAAAATGAGTTTATACTTGTTTTTTCACTGAAAAGCTAAAAACTGATATTCAGTGTGTGCAAATAATTGATTTAGAACAGGAAAAGCTGTTGTTCACTCTAGCAGAGGGAGGGAAACGTGGGTTAACCTTGACTGTCTTCTAGATAACGCAGTTGCATATCCAGTGCTACAGTTGTCGAGATATATCACGCTTTAGAGTTCTGGCTCTCACTTGTCAGGTGTCAGGGTGGAGCTGTAGCAAGGATAAGTATGGGTTTCTGACCTTCGTTTCCAGCTACTTCGGTGATGTAAAAGCTAAGAGGTGACCATGGATAGAGAACTAAGTATTTTGGGTATACTCAAAGATCCCAGATCTAGGAAGATGTAAACTCTTGTTTCATTGAACTTTGTTTTCCTATCAAGCTTAGGGCTCACTACTTCTCCTGCAAGAATAGACACATGCCCTTGCTCAAAGCGTCATAGAACTTGGCATGCTTACCCTAATGGCCTGCACCCTGGAGAGGCAGCGAGAAGGGATATGTCTGACGTGTGCATATGCTGGTACATCCTAACATTAAAATACAAATGTAAGGATGTGTTTGGCTGACGTATTACAGTTAGTGGAATGGCACTCGGTATGTTCACCCAACTACCTCGTTCAATATTTCAGTGATCTACAACACCTAGCAAATTCTTGTTCCTTTTTGTGGCACTCATCTCTTTAGGATTGTAATATTACAGCTGGAGTTACAGCATGTGCATCACCTGTGCTATAGGTTCAGATACACTTTCCTGCCACAATAACCAGAAAATGTTCTTATACTTTGTTAGAATTCATTTGCTTGTATGAAATTTCAATTTCCTGGCAGAGGCCACGATTGACTTTTTTCCTTCTCTTCACTCTTTTTCTCACTCTTCACTCTTTTTTTTTCTTTTTTTTTTTCTTTTTTATTTCCCAAATTGATTACAATCCATTTGCAAATTAGTGGTTTAGCTGCAGCAAAGGTTTAGTATTATAATTCTTGCCTTGAAGACTCATCCAGGCATATAAATAAATATAAATTCTGCCTTCTGTAATTGTTACTGGTGCCTTTCCTTATCTTGTAGCTTTCCGCTTACTGAAAGATGTCAGCAATTGGAGTAGTGTCCTGCTGTTCCTGTCTCCGTCCTGGTGTATGGCTGCTGAAACCAGGAATGCAGAAGATGAGCTCCTTCGGCTTACATACAGCAGCCAGGTGTGCTGCCAAGGATTATTATGAAGTACTTGTGTTGGGTGGAGGCGCTGGTGGAATCACCATGAGTGCTCGGATGAAGAGGAAGGTGGGGGCAGGAAATGTGGCTGTTGTTGAGCCAAGTAAGGTATGTCTTCCTCGGATGCAAAGCATTGAAAAGAATAAACATTTTACATATGGGACCAGACTGGTCTGATTCTCATCCTTCTTCAACCTCACACATTTTTAACTGTGGAGAGGAAGCCAACTAGCCATCTTTTAGAAGGCTTTGCATGAAATTTGTTGCTCCATGATAGAGATGCATGCATCCCTCCAGCTTTGTCACGCTAACCTCTTGGTTATTTATACAGCTTCTTTTGTTAAGAATAATACAATGTTAAGAGCACATTGCTTCCTATTTGGGGTGATGTGCCTTCATCTTAAAGTCCCTTGAACATTTCTTTCAGACTCATTACTACCAGCCACTGTGGACCCTGGTTGGCGGTGGTGCAAAGCAGCTGGCAACTTCTGCACGTCCAACAGGAAGCGTAATGCCTAAAGGTGTTGAGTGGATCAAATCTCAAGTTACAGCGTTGGATCCAGATAAGAACTGCGTCTGGCTGGAGAATGATATCAAGGTAATAATGTTAAAAAAAAAAAAAAAAAAAAATCTTAGTCTCTTACTCAATGTCATGAGTTGTCTGTCCACCTCCTCCAGATCCCCTTGGAACTGCCTACTGAGCAAGACCTTCCTCCAGCATCTAGGAGGCCAGGAAATTTCACTTAGTCTCATGAGAAGTACTTGATCCTAAAATCTGTTTCTAATAAAAATTGTTGTAGACAACTAGGTTAGAATAACATCAACTTAATATATCGTTATCATAAGTCTTTTCCCTGTTTATAGTGAACTGAACACAAAGGATAGAATATTTTGCTCCAAACACCTGGTTTTGTGTATAGAAAAGGCTGTGTGTGTAACTCGTAACGCAGTTAATATTTTAACTACAAATTATTCTTAGAGCTTAACATTTACTTTACTAAAGCTCCC